TAAGCTCAAAGTCTACAATTTCTTCTTTAATTACTCAACAACAACTCTAAACATGCAAAATTTCTTCTTGATTAAAATGTAAACCCTCAAAATCCATGACATTTTCCTTCAATCTTGAAAACCCATACATGAATTTCAAAGTATATAAATAAATCTTCATGAAATCATCCATGCATGACAAGTTTAAAGACTAATTTATCTTATTCCTGCAATTTGAGACATATTCATGTTAAACTCTAAATCTTATAGCCAAAACTTCTATCTTATGCATGAAGTCATCTCAATTCAACCTATATTTTAGAAGATGAGGAGTAGATTTACCTTAATTTCAAGAATTTGGAATGAAAACTCACCTTAATTTGATGATTAATGAGCTATCTTCTAATTCTTCCTAAGTTCTTCTTCAATTCTCCTTCTTTGAGTTCAACCCAAGAACTACCCAAGAACTCGCTCTTTTCTTCCCTTTCTCTAGGCATGGATTGTGTAATAACTCCACCAAACCAAGTACTCTCTCTCTCTCGTTCATTATTTATTAGGGAAATAAAAAGATGAGTAGAAGTTTCATATAATTACCATTTAATATTAAACTTAATTCATCCAAAATTAATAAATTATTTCTAATTAAATTAAATTAAATTAATCCTCATCACAATAAAATCTCAATTATATTAAATTAAATTATACTAATGTGTATTAAGCTCTAATTCCTATTCAATTATTTAATTCTAATTTGTTAAAATTAGCGAATCAAACAGGTTTAATTTTTTTTCTAATCTATCTGTTCAAACAATACAAGTCAATAAATCTCATAACAATCAATAATACTTAATTACATAATTAACATATAGGAACATAATTTATAGTTCCAATTAAGGCTCAATTCAATCACAGACAATTTTAGTAAACTGAATCAATTTTCAATTAAACTTCCCAAATGGCTCTAAAATTCTAATTAACATATCCTTATACTCACTTTTGATTTATGAACCCATTTATGTCATCAATTTCAGTTTCAAAGCTCAGCTCACAACAAATAGTTTCTCAATTTAAACAGATATTTACAACGAATCAAATTAAATAATTCAGAATTAATCACTTGGCACATGTCATAATTAAAATTCAATACATAATTAATCACTTATAATTACGATTAACATTTTGGGGTCATCACATCTTTGGCCATCACACACTTGCAATCTGACTTGCATATAAAATTTCTTTGCAAATGTAGTGAAAGAAATTTACTTGCATGTTGATTTTTTCTAACACATTTAACTTTCTCTGAAATTTCTTTGCAAATGTAATAAGAGCAATTTGCTTGCATATTGATTTTCTTTAACATATGATTTTCTCTGAAATTTCTCTATAAATGTAGTCAAAGAAATTTATTTGCATGTTGATTTTCTCTAACACATTTGATTTTTTGTTAAATTTCTTTGCAAATGTAGTCAGATAATTTACTTACATGTTGATTTTCTCTAACACATTTGGCTTTCTCTAAAATTTATTTGCACATGTAGTCAGAGAAATTTACTTTCATGTTAATTTCTAACTCAGTGAAATTTTGTCAATTTTTTTTCCCCGAATTTCATATTCATCAAGAATCTTATTTGATAGATCTCGACAAGAGTTCCAAAATATAATTTTTGTTGAAAATGGACATCTAAATCAAAAGTTATTGAATTTTTAAGCTTTCAAAAATTTCAAAAAGTGAAAGACGTTAGACTGAATGTAAAACGCAAGGATATTTTGGTTCAATAATTTTGAAGAGAAGATGCGCGTGTTTTTAAGGGACTTGAGGTAGTATGAGAGTTGGGATGTCATTTATCTCGTAAAATTGTAATATTAGGGACCTTAAAAAAAAACCTTTATTTAAAATTGACTATTTTAGTAATTTTTAAATTTTTTACAAAAAGATGTACCAAAAAAAATAGAGATAGTAATTTAATAATTTGTAGTGATTTTTTTAGCTAAAAAAATATGCTCTCAACAAAGGCCTCAGTAGTTTTGGGACATGGCCAAGTGAGTCTGAGAAGCATTGTGATTAGAGATTATCACAAGCCGGTTTTAGCCGGTTTGGATTACGGGCCTGTAACAACCCCGACCCATGATTAATATCAATCCATGATTAATTGTACCTAATCAGTAATTAAGGGGGAATTCTGAATTAATTTGCATGTGTACCTTGCATTAATCAGTAATTAAGGGGGAATTCTGAATTAATTTGCATGTGTACCTTGCATTATAGTGTTTATATCCGTTTAGTATGGAAAGATCTGTTCATATTTTAGTTTCGGTTTGTGAATTGAAGGCCTTATCGGCATCTGATTCTGAAATTGATTTGATATATGTCTTATGCGGGATTTATAGAATTTTATGGTAGGGTTAATCAAAATTCGATTTGGAACGATTAAATTAGATTTATTTAATGCACATTTAATTTATTTTGATTAATTGACACCAAGTGAGCTCTTAAACACTCCCTACATGTTCCACTCATATTTTTCTTAAATTGTCAGCATACTTTGAACTTCCTCTTACACAAACAACCATGGGAGAGAGAGTGAGTGAGAAGGAAATTGAGATCAAGCTTGAGGTTTGGAAGGAATTGCTAGGAGACTTGAGGAATTACTCAAGAACATCCCTAAACATAAGGAATTGAGAGCCTTAGGTAAGAATTTTAGTCTTTAGTTTTGTGAATTAGTTGATTAATGCATGAAATCAAGTGTGATAGGTAGATTAATATGAGAATTGAGCTAAGGAAAGAATTAAGAATGAGATTATGGTTGCATGTGCATTTCATGAAGTTTTGAAAGCGTTTTTAAAGAATTTCCTCATGCATGTCTTGAATTCACCTTAATTTTGGGAAAACATTGAGTTTCATAATGTTTTGTAGCACTTGATCATGTTTTGAGAAGCTTTGGTTCAAAGAATTGCATGCATGTCTTGTCTATGGATCATACATGAACCTTGAGTTGAATTACGTACAATTGGTAAGCCATTGAGCCATGATTTCTTGAAATGATCTTTAATTTATGTTGTTTTAAGGGTTTTCATGAATTTTCTCAAGTTTTTCCCAGAAAAATGAGGTTTGATGCTTAAAAGATTGAATTTGAACTTGAAAATCAAATCTGGAAATTCCAGAAATTTGATCCACACTCGAGCGGGGGACTTCACGCTCAAGCAAGCACTCTGAGTACGTGCACTCTCGCTCGAGCGACGTGAGTCATGCTCGAGCGTGAAATACATATACCCAGAAGTTCATACGTTTTACAGTCCGCTCGAGTGATCGTCTGAGTCTCACGCTCGAGCCGAGATTGAGTGTCCGTCACGCGTGAAAATCATGCAACTAGTACTTTGTCAAAGTTTAGAGTTCGCTGGAGCGAGAAAAGCCACGCTCGAGCGAACCTTCACATTCTGCATGTCCACTCGAGCGGGGGAAACCACGCTCGAGCGTGGACCCTGTTTTCAGAAAAGTTTTGAAAAATGTTTCAAGTGCATTTTTGCATCATCATTCCATCTTAGGCATTCCTAGACCATGATTAAGACTCCATATTGAAGTTAGAACTAGAAACACGCCAAGAACAAATAAAGCAAAATATGAATAATTTGAACATGTGTTTTAAGTGTGTATTTGTATGTATGTTCGTGTAGGTCGCATGCCTCAAACCATTTGATTAATCTGCTCTGTTTGTCTGCACCCGAAGCCAACCGTGAGTAATAACTTTGTAAAACTATGTTTAATTATAAGTATTTTCTGAATGATATAAGATGATCTGTTCTTGAAATATTATTTTTTGTGTGAATGAATGGTTGTCTAATGGTTTTGAAATGTATTCGTGGCATTCTTAGCTTCAAATGATATTCGTTATCTGTTCCATTACGTCCCAATTATGGGCCAACTGTAAGTCTCATGAGCCAACTGTTATGGATCCTTATGAGCCAACTGTACCGTCTCCGTGCACGTGAGTCAACTGTATGCCTTTATGGTCATCCCTTAATGGGTCAACTGTTTCTGCTAGTGCTAATGAATGTACCATGTATGGTTAACTGCAAAATCTGATTATGAATATGATTCCGATTTTGTGTCTGTAATGAACTATGTTTTCTGTAACTGTTATGGGCAACATTCATTAAACCCTTTACTTTGATATTATTCACTAGGCCTCAGCTCATTATCTATATTATGTATGTAGATGTGCAGGCACATGATCAGGCCTAGGCCTGATGGCCTAAGTTCTATTTTTGTCAGCCAACCCTTGCGCCTCCTGAGGAGGTTTCGAACGAAGTCAAGTTTTTGTGGCCGTTTTTGTATTCTTAATAGACTATGTTATTTGTCAAGTTTGTGGGCAAGACTTTTTATCAGGTACGCTTATATGTAATATGTAAATGTTATGTCCTGACCTCGCCAGAGAGTCTATGAAACTTTTGTTCTATTCTATCCCATGTAAGTCATCACAACTCATTGGACCTTGTATGTTTGTATATTACTTTCGTAGCCCCTAGCTATGAGTTAATCTGTCAAGAGGCCTTTGGTAATCCCAGGATTACTGGCCGGTTACGATGCTAAACCCATAGGGGCGGGTTTGGGTCGTGACAGAGTGGTATCAGAGCACGTGTTTTACCGCACACATAGATCCATATGAGCTTAGGATGTCCTAGTAAGAAGTAGGGGCATTCCATCTGCATGCCTAAGTGTGTTTATTTGGAAATGAAAACATAAATCCAATTATGATCATGTGAATCCGAATAAAGTAACAAGGACTATTTGCCTATGTTTGTAAAGTTCTGTTTACCTATAGCAAATAGACAATGCAAGAAGGGATGATACAGCAGGGTCCTCAGACGCCCGAATGAGCAAAATGGAGCAAATGCTTACGGCTCTAACTGAAGTGGTAATGCAACAACAGTGGCAACAACCTTTACCTCCTTCACCCCCGTAGGCTCAAGTTGAACCAGTCAACAACGATATTATTAACCTACCTCAGAAGTTTATGAAGATGAAACCGCCAACCTTTCTTGGTGGAATTGAGCCGCTGAAGGCTGAAACGTGGTTATTAGAGATGAAGAAATTGTTTGAAGTATTTCTCTGTTCGGAAACTCAGAAAGTCCTTCTGGCCACCTACACGCTGAAGGATGAAGCTCGGATATGGTGGTTATTGGTCCGAAACAATGATGAAAACATGACATGGGCTCAATTTAATACAATTTTCCATGACAAGTACTTTCCTCAGTGCTTCCGGGACCGGAAGGTTTCAGAATTTCAGGAACTCAAACAAGACAGGATGTCCGTAGCTGAGTATGAGGCTAAATTTACTGAGTTAGCCAAATTTGCTCCTCATATGGTCGACATAGACTATAAGAAGGCCCGCAAATTTGAGGGCGGACTAGACGTAGATATACTGGATCGGGTGGGAGTTCTTAACTTGCCCACGTATGTGAATGTATTGGACAGGGCACTAATGGCAGAAGCCATTTTGGCAGCAAAGAAACAAACTCTTGTTCCACAAACTGATTGGATGGGGAAAAGGTCTGGAAATAGTTTAAAAAGGGGACGTTCATTTACTGGGAATAAGAAACAAAATACGAGATCTTCTAGTAGCTCAAGTCAAAGTGGTGGATCAACGCTTAATTGTACTCAGTATGGGAGGAGACACAGAGGGGTTTGCCATCGAGTATCTGGTGCATGCTTCCAGTGTGGCAAGACAGGTAACATAATAAAGGATTGTCCAATCGGGTCCGAAAGTGTCAACCGTCCTGTAGCAAGTTCGGCAGGATCTGCTTCTGGATCAAAAGCAAATGTTAGAACTAATACTGGGAAAGAACCTCTAAGGCAAGGTTGAGTGTTTGCTTTAGTGCCTGGTGACGTACAGAACACCGAAATTGTGGTGTCAGGTATACTCCCTATATGTTCTCAAAATGCATGTGTATTGATCGATTCCGGTTCTATACATTCCTTCGTATCGCATGCTTTCTCTCAGAAATTAACTAGACCACTAGAACTTATGACATATGTGTTATCTGTTTCTACACCGTCTGGGGGTTCTATGTTATGTGCTTATGTTTATCCAGCATGCGACATTATGATTAGTGATATGACATTGTATGTTGACTTGTTGCCCTTGAACATTGATACTTTTGATTGTATTCTGGGTATGGACTGGTTGACTAAATATTGTGGTACTATTGACTGTGCAAGTAAATCTGTTGTGTTTAGACCACCGGGTATGCCTGAATTTATTTTTACTGAAAATGGGGTAGTTCCTCCTCCATACCTAATTTCTGCCATGAAAGCTGTTAAATTACTTAGGAAGGGGTGTAGGGGTTACATGTGTTGTGTTTTGACTGAGATCTCTGATAAGACCAATATGGAAACTATCCCTATTGCTTGTGAATTTCCCGATGTGTTTCCGGATGATTTGCCTGGGGACTTAGTTGATAGGGAGATTGAGTTCACTATAAAAGTAGTGCCAGGAACACAACTTATTTCTAAGACCCCTTACAAAATGTCAACCTCAGAACTGAAAGAATTGAAAACCCAACTTCAAGAACAGTTAGATAAGAAATTCATTCGCCCGAGTACTTCACCTTAGGGCGCTTCAGTCTTATTTGTCAAAAAGAAAGATGGATCTTTGAGGTTATGTATAGACTACCGGGAATTAAACAAGGTAACTATCAAGAATAAATACCCTTTACCCCGAATAGATGACTTGTTTGATCAACTTCAGGGAGCCCAAGTCTTTTCCAAGATTGACCTTAGATCTGGGTATCACCAGTTGAAAGTTAAAACAGAAGATGTGGAGAAAACCGCATTTAGGACTAGATACGGACACTATGAATTTTTAGTAATGCTTTTTGGGGTGATGAATGCACCTGCTGCCTTTATGGACCTTATGAACAGAGCGTTTAAATCATTTCTGGATGAATTTATTGTTGTGTTTATCGATGATATGTTGATTTATTCTAAGGACAGGAAAGATCATGAGAATCACTTGGGAATTGCTCTATAAACTTTGAGAGAAAAGAAGTTATACGCTAAACTATCCAAATGTGAGTTTTGGCTTGACAGTGTGGCATTTCTGGGTCATGTAATCAACAAGGATGATATTTCTGTTGATCCTCAGAAAATTGAAGCCATTGTGGATTGGCCTAAACCGACGAATGTGACTGAGGTTAGAAATTTTTTGGGACTTGCAGGTTACTACGGGAGATTTGTAAAAGACTTTTCAAGACTTGCCATGCCATTGACCCAGTTAACCTAGAAAAATGTATCATTTGATTGGAATGAACAGCGAGAGTTAGCCTTTCAAGAGTTGAAGGCCAGATTAGTGACTGCATCAATTTTGACTCTGTCCATTGGTACCGATGGATTTCAGATTTACAGTGATGCTTCCTACAAGGGTTTGGGATGCGTGTTAATGCAAAATGGAAATGTAATTACTTATACCTCTTGGCAACTCCGTCTACATGAAAGAAATTACCCAACACATGATCTTGAACTGGCAGCTATAGTGTTTGCCTTGAAAATTTGGCGACATTATCTGTATGGAGCTACATGTGAAGTGTATACTGATCATAAAAGCCTCAAATATTTCTTTACCCAAAAGGAATTGAACATGAGACAGAAGAGGAGATGGTTAGAGCTAATTAAAGATTATGACTTGCAGATTTTGTATTATCCAGGGAAAGCTAATACTGTGGCAGATACCTTGACAAGGAAATCAATAGGGAATCTGTCGTGTTTGCTTACCAGCCAGAGAGAAATGTTATATGACTTGGAAAAGAATAAGATTGAGATTGTGATACGTGAACAGGGCAGAATACTAGCTGCCATTTCCGCTCAATCTGCAATCATTGAAGTAATTAAACAGAAACAACTTGAAGATGAATACTTGAGAAAGATTGTGGAAGAATTTGATTCAAAACTGAGGCCAGGGTGTAGACACCCCATTTTTGATCGACCTTAAGACTTAGACGTCATCGATTGAGCGCTTGATGATCGCACGTGTTTGTGCTCGTTTCGAGTTTTCGGCGAAGTGCCTTGCCTCCGGGCCTCTAAACTCTTTGTGTTTTGGCTCGGTTTGTGGACCAAGCCTTGTTGACCTTGCCTGGAGGGAGAGAGAGGTTTGTAGACCACTTTTTGTGGTCGTAGACCACTTTTCCCTCTTGTAGACTAGTTTCCGATTTTCAGAGCCTTTGGTCGCGCGCCTTGTCTCGAGACCTCTTATCGTTCTCTTCTTGGCTTGGTTTTTGGACCATACCTTGTTGCGTTGGTCTAGAGGGACACAGAGGTCTTGTAGACCACTTTTTGTAGTCGTAGACTACTTTTTCCTCTCGTAGACCACTTTTGCGCTCGTAGACTAGTTTTCGAGGCTTCCGGCTGCGCGCCTTGACCTGTGGACTCTTGTCTTGCATCCTTTTTGGTTTGTTTTTGGCACAAACCTTGTTTTCCTTCCTTGGAGGGTGGAATAGGGGTTGTAGACTAGTTTCTCTCCCTGAAAACCACTTTTCCTTCCTGCCAGCCAGTTTTCTGGTCGGCCAACTGGTCTTGGTGGTCTTTGGACCACCAAAAGTGGTCGGCAGCCATGCCACCACTTTGCTTTCTTTGTGCAGACCACCTCTCCCCCCTTGCCGACCACTTGGTCTTCTTGAAGACCACTTTTGGTGGTCAGCCGACAGTGCAAGTAGCTGGCCGACCACTTCAACTGGTCAGCAGCCTTCCTGCAGATATTTTCTTGCCAGTTGTGCCAGCTATTGGGCACAGAAAGCATCCTCCATACACGTGTATGGAGGGATTGCTTGGAGCTCCAAGCTTGTTCAACAAGCTTGAACTTTGTTTTTTCTATATAAGGGAGCCTCCTCCCTCTTGCCTTAGGTTCAAAAAAATTGCTTGGAGCTATACATACACTTCTATCTCTATATTGCTCCCTTTGTCTCATATTTGTGCTTGAAAGTGCCTTTATTTCACACTTTTGCACGCAAACACATAGTGAAACACCTTCAATCTTGGACTGAGATTCTTGGAGGTTTGTTTGGAGCTCAAGGCTTGGTTTTTGCCTTAGAAGTTGCTGCCTTGCTTTGATTCTTCAAGGGTGAGTCTCTAATCCTCTTAAGGCCTTGTTGTAGTTGCTTACTAGGCCACCCTTGCATGCTTATTTTGGCTTGACTTTCTACTATAAAAAGCTTCATTTTCAAGTGTTTGAAATATTTGTTTAAGGCTTCTTTGGTGTTGGAGGTGGTCTACTCCTTTACATGCCTTATTTTGCTTTGTTTTGAACCATCACTTTAGGCCCTTGAGATCATCTTCTCTTGGCCTTTTAGCCACTAAAATCCAACAGATTTTTAGTGGTAGAAATTGTGTTTTGAGGTCCCAAATAGGAGGGGGTTATCCCCTCTCCTTATGTCTTGGTTGCTTGCTTTGTTGGCCTCATGTTTGAGCATGTTTATCTAGCATATGTTGGCTCCATCTCAGCCTATTTTTGGCCTTATTTCAGTATGTCATACCTCTATTTTGGCTTAGTTTAGGCCACTCTTGCATGCTTTATACACTTGTAGTGTAATCCTTGCACACTAGCCTTATATGCTCATGTTGATAGCTCACCTTTCTAGCATGTTTTGGCTCTATCTCAGCATGTTTTTGGTGTTGTTTTACCATGCCTTAGCTTTGTTTTGGTTTGGTTTGATAGCCTCTTGCATGCTCCTTGCACTTGTAGTTCATTTCCATTCACTAGCCTAACATGCATCATGCTTTGAACCATCCTTCTAGCATGCTTTTGGCTTTACTCCAGGAAGATTTTCTTCATGTTTTGCCATGCTCTAGGTCTGATTTAAGTGTTTTGGGTCATGCGTACCTTGCTTTGTACAGCCATAGTTCATTCTTGCTCACTAGCTTTGTGCTTTGAGTCCACTAGCATGCATTGCTTGGGCTATTCACATGATTTAGCATCATTTGATATGTGATTTCAGTGCATGTATTGTGGCCATGCCCTCACATCTTGCACTCATTCAATGCTTTAGAGGGTTGGTGCTTCATGCTTTAAAAATGAGCAATTGTGTATGCTATCTTGCCTAAGCTTTTGAGCTGCCATTTCAGTGTGTTTTTGGTATTTTTTTTCCATGATACAACTCTGTTTTTGGTTGGTTAGAGTATCCCTCATTTGCTTCTTACACTTGTAGTGCAAGTCCTCTTTACTAGCCTTGCATGCCTAATGAGTGAGCTTGTTATTCTAGCATGTGTTGAGTTGGTATTAGCCCATTTTTGGTGTTAATTTGACATGCCATAACTCCGATTTTCATTGGTAAAGTCATCTCATTCTTGGTTTTGGTAGGTGTAGTGCAATCCTCCTTATTAACCTTGCATACTCCATGCTTCATGCCCTTCATGCTATCTTGTTTTGGCTATTCTCCGTGCATGTTTTAGCCTTGTTTTTCCATGCTCTAGGACTGTTTTGGGTTATCTTGGCCATATGGTTCATGTATTGCATAGCTGTAGTGCAATTGGCCTCGCTAGCCTTGTGTTTTCATGCATCTAGCATGCTTCATTTGTGACATGTACATGATTTGGCAACATTTAACATGTTATTTCAGAGCATATAACATTGTCATGTTCTCATTTCTTTTACTCTTTGAGTGCCTTTAAGGGTTATGCCTTTGTGCCTTGCTTATGGCCTAATGCGTATGCATGCATGCCTAGACTTTTGAGCTCCCATCTCAGCCTGTTTTGGCCTTTGTTTTGACCTAATTGAGCTCTGTCCATGATTGGTTCAATCATTTGTGCCATGTATTGCATGCCTCTTGTGTAGTCCCTCTTGGTGGCCTTGTGCCTTAGACCCTCTTGCATGCC